AAAGAGCTTTCTATTTGGGTTCAGCGTTTATTGTATTTTTTTTTTCCTCTATATTTTTTCCTAATAAATTCTTGGTATTCAATTTCACAGATAAAACAGCTGGGACTTTCATTATGTTAATAATTAATGACTCAAGTATCAAAAATCACATTGAGATTCTACAAAGAAAATGACATCAAAGTCTAGAGCACGACATGCCAACATTATGTACCACACAATATGAATACATTAAGCGGTAACATGCATAAAAATTGCCACAATATTTCTTTAGTTTATATTTATAAGTTATGAATAAGTTATATATTCAGGTCAAAAAAGAATTAAGTTATATATTATTTATTATTTTATTATATTTGTAAATTTGTAGTTGTATTAACTAAGAGGATTCAATTTAGTCTTGAATTAAAATTATAAGGCATGAGATAGAATGATAGTATATAATAAATAAATAAATAATAATTAAACTTTATAACCTTAATAGGCTCATTATTCCATAAAAAGCCAAAAAAGAGTTTTATTAATTAAAAAATAATGGAGAAATAAATTAATTAGTGTTGATTGTTAATTTAATTTGATTAACTAAAATTGCTTCCTAACTTTGTGATGGCGATTAGTTTGAATTAATACGAGTAAGTTTTTATCCTTTCTTTTTAAAATTGCTTAATTATAGGGTGTTGTGAGAGGAAATATAGGGGATTTGATTAGAAACAAACTAAATTAATATTTTTAAAGTTATATTTTAGCATTTGATCCTTTTAAATAATTACATTTTTTAGTTTTTAAATATCCATTTAAATAAATATTATCCACGGTAGGTTTGTCTCTCTGATTCTCTCAAAAAAAAAAAACACGCAATAATGCGTATTGTTTGGGATTGGTCTCAAACCTTCTTCTCATGCACCATCCCACATGACTTCCACTTGTGTGCCCACCCACTTAGTATAATTTATAAATAGTTTTTTAATTGTAGTTTATGAAATATGAGATAAGTGTGTAAAAGAAATTTTGTTTTTACTTATAAATACTTATTTAAGTGATTGCAAACAAGCACCAAGTCAACCTGATATGAACAATTCGAGGTTTCCCTTGATATGCTCGATACAATTTTAACTAATGGACTTTTTAATTTAATTGGGGAAAAAAGAAACATGGGTATGAAAATAACAAAATCCCACTTGTTCATGACCCTAAAGATTGAGAAATAAAAATCACAAATGAAAACCTATTAAATACATAAATGTAAGAGATAAAGTAAATTAACTTTCTATATTTAGAATTAAATTCACACCACTAATTTTCAAACATACGATCGCTCAATCCAAAAATGATTGCTTATTGATTTTAATCTTTTATTACTCCCCCAATCCTTAATATAAGACCCATTCAACTAATTTGGTTAGATTAAGAAAATTAGGTAAGTTAATTAATTATAAAAAAAGTGACATATTTTTCCTAAAACACCATAATCATCTTTTTTAATACCCTCTCTCCCTCTTCTACTTGATCATGTTTGAGGGAATATTTATAGGGGGTAATTTAAAAAAAATTGATAAATATTAGAAATGGGTCTTATATTTAGAACCAAAACTAACTCAAAAATTGGGTCCTATATTAAGGACCAGATGAGTATTACTCATTATTTACATTTAATTTTTAGAGTTTTAGGTTGCTGTCTGGTGTCCCACAGTTACATTGAGGTCTATGAACAATACCTCAACATATCTGCTTCATACGTATTGTGAATTAAATAAAACGGGCATTGCTTGGGATGGGTCTCTTTTTTTTCTTTTTTTGAAAAATGATAAAAAAATATTTGTTAAATTTCAAAATGATAAATATATAGATGATTTTGATAAATTTTAACAAGTCAAAACCATTATGAGAATAATAAAAATCATTATAAAAATAATCAATATAACCTCTATATATTTTCAAAATTTAATAGATATTTTTTTGTTACTTTTCTTTTTCTTTCCATGAACCTTCCGACACGACTTCGCCTTGTGTCCACACAATCGAGTCAAGTCAACCGAGCGCAAGTAGTACTCCGACTCTTTGCTTCATATGCCCCATGCAATTTTAACCTATATTACGGGCTTTGTATTTTAGTTGGGAAAAAAAAAACAAAAGAAAAGTAAGGGACGAAAATAACGAAATCTCACTTGTTCATCATCTCAAGGATTGAGAAATAAAAATCATAAATTCTTGTTAAAATATCATCTTTCGTAAAAGACAAAAATAAATGAGAAGAGAATTGAAATGATATAAGATCATATATGTTAATTTACAATTAGTACCCTCCATATGTTGGACTGTATATCGTTTTTAGTTAAGCCTTCCATATACTCCTGCGGTCCTTAATATAAGACCCAATTGTTGAGTTAGTTTTGGTCTTAAATATAAGACCCATTTCTCATATTTATCAATTTTCTCTAAATTACCCCTATGTATACTCCCTCAACCATAATCAAGTAGAAGAGGAAGATGGGGTATTAAGAAAGATGATTATGATATTTTAGAAAAAACTTGTCACATTTCTTATAATTAACTAACTTACCTAACTTCCTTAATCTAATCAAATTAGTTAAATGAGTCTTATATTAAGGACCGGAGGAGTGTTTACTTTCAAGTTGAGCATTGGGTTTCTAGCAAGGCCAAGAGAAGAAGAAAACACAAGGCGATTAAGACCCCCGAAAGGGGGACTTTACTGCTTAAGAGTGAACAAAAAGCGGTTGTATTTGGTTTGCAACTGATTAAGACCCTATTTGGATTAGCTTTTTAAATTACTTATAAATATATTTTATGTAAACCGGGATAAAGTTTTTTTTTTTTTTTTCCATATACTTATCTCGTAAGTAAGTCATTTAAAACGGGCCCTAAAGTTATTTGCGTTTCCAAGTCAAATCAAATCAAGCATGAAAACCAACCCAATATCTATATTATGTCATTCGATTCGTTTTGCATCAACACTTTCGCGTGTGCTTCGTCTACTGATAAAATCTAGATGTTCTGTTATAGTCAATATCTGATCAATGCTAGTACCTGCTATTCGTCTAAATTTTCAACCATGTATCAAAAGAAAAGTTATCTTTTCATGTAGGAGCCACAATACACAAGCCTTAGGCCTTGGGCTCTGCAGACTGAAAGAGATTCAGGACTATGAGTAGGGCCGCAATATTCTATCTCAGACATTAGGACTAGTAAGCTCATTGCTGTCTTTCTGTCTCTCAAACCAAAACTTGAAATTGGTCTAAATGCATCAGTAGCAGCAATCATTATAATGCAATGAATGCAAATCAATTTAACCTCTAGTTATTAGTTGAAGTAGATAGCAATTAGATAAACAAATGATAAAAATGGCGTTTGCGTCGAAAAACGACTGCTTTCTCACCTGCAACATATCAATATATCTATTTGCAGATCATAAATATTGGTGGATGACGTTGTCAAAAAGTGAAAGAACAAGAGACACTAGAATGAGCAGAGGGCCCACTTTGCTCCTTCCATGCCCCTTCCCTCACCCACTCCTTCCCATAAATTATGTTATCATATGAAATAGAAGCAAAAGACACATATAATGCTGTTATTGACTAGCAAAGACTTGGAAAAATGAATGTGAAACTAAGATAATGTTAATTCCACCTAAAACTCATATTTCTCAAGTGGAAACCTCCATGGTCCTTCTCGCATGACTTGGACTCGTCTCACCACAGTCAAGCCAAGCTTGGTTTAAAGTTCCTCCGAGTCTTTCTTGAATAAGCTGCAGTTTTTAACTTCGGTTCTTATGATTTTTCCTTTTGAAAAAGGTAACTGGTATTTCCCTAACTTACTTGCAAATATATGAGAGTGTGTGTATTAATTGATCCATCAAAATTAACTCATGAATTCCAGAAAATTAGCTTAACTAATTTATTTAATAAAAATGATCAAAATCTTTTCAAAAGAAAAAAGAGGCAGGCTGATCTTATAAAGCAAATAGTGAAACTGTGAAGAACAGGGCATGAACAGAGGAGATGTTAAGTGTGGTGAGGGAAGGAACTATAACCTGAGGGCTTCCAAAAGGATGAAGAGTTGGAATATGAAAATACTGAAAATAGTTGCCACCATCACTGATTCCAAAGAGAACTTCAAAACCAAACAATGCAATTGTTTTCTTTTTCCAATTCATGTTAGGAAAGAAGTAACATGTGACAAGCTTTTGGCTAATCTCAGTTTTGGCCAACTTCAATTTGCAAAATTCAATTTTTGCTAACTTCAATCTATCTAAAGCAATTTGCACAGCCAATTCTATCCAAACTTAATTAGAAAGTTATCCATAAAAAAGTTATTATTGATCAAAACATTGCTCATTTTTTAACGTAAAAGTTACAAAAGCTGGTTTGACCCAGTTAAAATAACCAAAGTTAATATTTTCGCCCCATAGACTTGAAAATTGACCATTAACCAAAAAAAAAAAAAAGTTCATATTATTATGTCATTGAAAAGGCATGTTATGGTAGCTATCAAATAAACTAGACCAACTATACACTATAGCAATGCTACCTAGGTCGACCTCTATTGAGGAGCTAATTACTAAACCTCTAGCTAACTAAATATTAATTACAAATTAACCAAATGGGATGCAGTGAGGTGAATTAACTATTTTAAACTAGTATAAGCTAGTATACTTTTTATGATTTTCCAATTTTATGAATGAAATGGATCATGGAATGGGTAATAGGAGACTTCCTTGATGAATGACTTACTTAACATTCCTAGTTCTACTTATGTCAAGTTCAATTACCTAACTAAGCAATAGAGCTAGAGACGACACCTTCCCTAGCCAACGCCAGTAACTCCCAAAATTCACCTAGACACCTACATTCTTCCTTTAGTTCATTAGAGACGCTTTAAAGTGCTTAGCTCATATTAGACTCGCAGAAGGATCTCTACACTAATAATCAGACCTAGACACCTAGCTAGCAATTTAATCAAGAGCTTTAGAACGTGGAGACTTGATCAAAATAGCAAAGAAAGTGCCACAAATCAATCAACAATCCACTGAATGCAACATCTAATATAAGTACCAATCTCCAGACTACACATGCCATTGATAATCCTCAGCTATACACATTAAATACAAATTCCACAGATACCTAGAAACTACAATCAATATGCATAGAGATTGAAACCTGTAACAGGGAACAATTAAAATCCCCTATTGCCTTGTGGAACTCAGCTTGGCTTCATCATCATCAAGGAATGGAAGCCCCTACTGCTCGTGGACGAAGACAGCACCTCACCGAGGTTCGCAGGACTCTCGGCCATAGTGCCCAGCAAAGGAAGACGGAATTGCGATTCAAGGAGGAGCAGAGATGGTGGAATCAAGAGGACGGAGGTGGTGGATATGGAGAGGATGATGACTGGAAGTGCGATCTCGATTTAGATATGGGAACCCTCAGCAAAAACGCAGCGTTCCATGTCTGTCGATCCTTCATCGTCGTTTTGCCGGATTGGTCTTTTTGGTTCTAGACTAGACTCTAGAGCGCTCAAAAAGAATGCTTATCATCCCCTCCTGACAATCAGAGCACAGACAATCACCTGCACACACCATCAAACCATGCATTACATCCCCATAAAAAATCACACAAAGACGACATAAAGAAGATTAATATAATTTTTAGTCCCTCAAATTTATTCTTATTTTGGTTTGGTTTTTCAATAGGCAAAATGATCTAAATTTTTATTAAATTATAAGGATCAGTATTTTAAATGAAAAGAAATTTAAAAGACTAGAACTTCTAGTTTAAAACTTAAGAGACCAAAACTAAAATAAAAATAAATTTGAGAGATGAGAAATTACATTAACCTAACCTAAAATTATATATGTAATTATGTAAATGTACAATAATGAGCTCTGTCAGTCATATTTGAATATTGGTGGATCTAATCATAAAAAGCTCTATCCCCACTCTCCACTACATTTAATTTCCACAGGCGTTAGCTTGGCTCAAAAAACAAAACATAAGACACATAAATAAAAAGAGTTGGGGAGGGGTTAACCTTCCAACATATTGATATTGGCATTTTCCTCTGGTCAAGAACCAATATAATATTGATATCATACTAAAGTATTGCTCCAATTGTAATTATGATAAATTATTTCCAATTATTTTATAATGATGAAAAGACGATATAGTTTGTGTGGAAATATTAAAAGTTGTAAACAAAAATAATTAATTTTTAAAAGTTAATGAATACTTCACTTTGTATTGCAAGATAGTGAATATATGGAAATTCATTAATTTGTTTGAGAGTATGAATATATAATATATAAAACCAGAGACAATATAATAGTGGAATTTGTGTGGAATACCGAGGTTTGGATATAAACGTGGGTTTGGGAGCGTTATTGGACCATCTTTCGTGAATGCGGTTTGGAAATGCCATGGGCTCCCAAGGCCTGTCATCGGCACCGAGTTATGATCAACAACCTGCACAATGTGTTGCAGCCCTCAATCAACACAATAAGAACCCATCTATCCGCCAGTCGAAAAAAAAAAAAGAACCCATCTATCCATTTACTCTCTTACATCAAAATGCCCCTAGCTAGTTAATACTTCATTTTCTTTCGTAAGTGAAAAAAAGCTCAATGTTCACTTTGGTAAGAAGGTCACTACTCCTATAGTTACTATATCTCATTCTGTATAGTGTTAGGAAAGAATAGTTGTAAAAAAGTACTATCTCTAATGCATAGTATACAAAATTGGTTAAATTTTTCTCACACATTAAGAAATAGAAGTGTAGTCATTAAATGTGTTCTAAAATGATAAAGTCTGCTTATTTTATCCTAAAGAAATGATAAAGTTCTTTTAGTATTATATTTTTATTATCTCACATATTTCTTCTATATTTAATAGGGACAAAAGTGAAAAAAGCACATTAATTATCCCCTAATGTCTTATATTTTAGACCACAAATTTCTTTTAACCAATATCTTATATTATAGGACCAGAGGGAGTATTTGAGTAATTGCACACATTTTCTTAATACTAATAGATTAGTTAAAATGGTGCCATGTTTAGGACTTAAAAAGAGTCTGTACAATGCGGGTCAAGTGTTTACGAGATATAGGGATGGAGGAGGTAGCTTCAAATAAAAATGAAAAAAATAAGTTTAATGGAAGTGACTTACTCGGTCCATTTGTTGTTCCAGTATTGGAAGGAGACCTTGACTCTTTGAGCTACTGCTGTTTTCAACATCAACTTTGCGGATGACACGCCATCCACACTTTATTGAAACTTCCGCATTGTCGGGACGGGCTGTAAATACGAAGGGAATTTGACTGTACTTCCTTGATTGCCACATATCATGGTTAGACTTTGTTGGATAGCAAAAGAAGACCCAGAGGTGACAAGACTTTCTTTTCTTCCCACCCTTACAATTAGACGCTGGCATAGCATGGTTTCTGTGACGGGGACCCATAAAAAACGCACGATCGTGCAACCGCCACAAAAGCAACCTCCCTTCTCTAAAATAAAAGTTACTTTCTAGAAGAGTGCAAAATCCAATTCCAAATATTTCTTCGCAAGGGGGTATGTCTATCATCACTAAAGCGTCGCCTTTATGATCCCGATAAAGATCGACTTGATTCTCAAACCATGGCGATATTTCACTTGTAGCAATATTCATCCAAAAAGTAATAAGTGAAAATTCCTAAATCGAAAAATAATCACGTATCAAATTATATAGTATGATTAAACACAAAATAAATACATATAATTATATGATGATATATGACTATATGTATATACCTGGTCCCTTGAAGCAAAGAGATGTGATAATTGTTCAACTTCCACTGTACCCAATGAATCACATTTTTCTGCATACATACCCGTTACTCTGGGTGGAATCTGCGGCAACGACTCAAGTTCTGTGCAAGAATCCATTTTCAAAATTTCCAAATTCAAAAGATTTGATATGCAGCCAGCGGGTAGATTCTTAAACTTGTTTCCACTTAGATCTAATCTCCTTAACGATGATAAGCCACCGAAGTCATCCGGAATGGATCCATCATCAATACCGCAGTAGCTTAAATCCAATTTGTCCAGTGATTTAAGATTGAATATTGAAACAGGCAATGTTAAGCCCTTATGAATTGAATGCCTCCAAGGAAGAATCATGCTCCAAGAGTTCGACGTTGACCTTTTACACCCACGGAATGACAATTTCTTGAGTTTTTCTAAACCACCAACGGAACAAGGTATTTCTGTTATATCAGTTTCACTTGCATCCAGCTCCTCCAAGGCTTCAATTTCATTTAACTTCTCTGGCAATCTAGCAAATTTTGAGCACCCAGCAATATCAAGAAGTACAAGACATTTCAAATTGTGAATGCTTCGAGGAAGGCAAACAAGATTTTTGCAACCCCTTAATTTCAGAGTTTTAAGACCAGTCAACAAGCCAAGTGACTCGGGAAGTTTGACTAAATTTGTCTCCCCAGCATCAAGCGTTTCTAGATTTTTCATATTTTCCCCAAACTTTGGGAGAAATTTTACTCGAGTACACCCACAAAGAACAAATTCTTTCAGCACAGTCATTTCCAATTTTTTGGGACAACAGGCTGTAAGACTTTTGCAACCTTTCAAGTTCAATACCTGAAGCTTTTTGTGTTGTCCAATTGAAGCATGAAGGTCAACAAGTTTTTCACAACCTTCAAGTTCTAATTTTTCCAGATTTGGGAGTTTAGAGAAATCAGGAGTTTCGATCAAGTTTTTGGAAAAACGCAAGTCCAAAAACTTCAGATTCTTCGAGCACTGGTCAAACAAATGTATGAGAACCAATGAAAAAAATATGTATTTTGCTAACTATGATAATCAATGACACTATCAACAACATCAAAGGATAAGATATCTTACCAAGCTAAGTTTCTTTAATTTGCTATGATGCATTCTAAGATCAACAAGTTCATGCAGTCGAGTTCCAGAAGGAAGAGTGTCTAAAGGATATTTTGTCCAATAAAGTACTTTCAAAGCATGAGAAAGACATTTGAGGCCAACAGGAACATGGAAATCACTTGATATCATGAGTAATCTAAGGTTACGCAATGTTGAAAATGCTTCAGGATCCCAAAGTGCCTCACAAGATGTGGATGAAATCACACCTTGTATTTCTCTTGTGCCTTGATAAACAACATTATGCAATGTTGAAAATGGCTTAGGACCACAAAATGCCTCACGAAATTGGGACGAAATCATACCTTCTATTTCTTTTGTACCCTGATAAACAAGATTAGCCACAAGAAAAATGGTATCAAATTTACTATACAAGAAATTAATGGGATGTAAAATACATTAAAACCTAATAACATGTAAAATATATTAAAACCAATCAGAGATAAGATCAATACTCACCCAATTGTTTTGCATAACTTTATCAATATCTTCATTAGTCCACAATCTACTACGATTTCCAACACAATTAGAGGACTTGTCCATTACAATTTTCCTACCCATTTGTTCCACCAAATCATGCATCACCAAAATACTGTCATATTCCTTCAGCATAGACTTTTCCTGGAGAGTTGTTATTCCAATTTTTGCATTAAAACCACAACTTTCTAATATTTGTGTTATTTTGTTTTTGCTCCAACCATTGAAGAAGCAAGCAATATCTAAAAATATTGCTTGTTCTGTTTTGGTTAATGTATCAAAACTTATTTTAAGTATCTCAAAAATATCTTTATGGGGATCTTTCTTCAACATTCCCAAAGCATCTTTGCTTAACATATCTAAAGCATCTTTCCATTGCACAGTACTTCTTCCACAGAAAAAGGAGCCCAAAACAGAGAGAGCTAAAGGAAGGCCTCTGGCATAATCACAAACAATTTTAGACAGCTCCAACAAATCCTCCTGAGGCTCACTTCTTCTAAATGCTGTATGACAAAAGAGTTGAAGGGCTTCATTTGGGTTCATAGTTTTAACCTCATGTTGATATGCTACACACGCTCCGCGCAACAAGTCTAAATGCCTAGTTGTTATGATCACTCTACTCCCAGCACCAAACCAGTTTGGGCTATTAGCCAAATTTTCTAGATGAGTTGTATGGCTAACATCATCAAGGATAAGTAAAACCTTTTTATTGCAACAACGGTTTTGGATTATTTTCTTCCCTTCATAGCAGTTTTCAATTTCCATGTTTCTTATTTTGAAATGTGAAAGCAATTGGCTTTGTAACTGAACCTCGCCACCATCTTTTTCTGAAGTTGCCCTGACATTATGAAGAAAGCAACTAATATCAAATTGGCTACGATATTTCTCAAAAACAGCCCAAGCAATTGTTGTCTTCCCAACACCCCCTAGGCCCCATATTCCTACAAATCGAACATCATTTGAAACCATCTCGAACAATGGCTCCAGTTGTTTCACTTCATTGTCAATTCCAATGAGTCCTTCAGTATAAGGTGGCAGTCTAGGACGAAATTTGGCCCACAGCTCCTCAACCACTGTTTGAACAAGTTCTGCTTCAGACCTACAAGTTACAACAACGTATGAATGGCCATGTGAAATATAACTTTTGATTTATTCTGCAATTATACTACCTCCGGTCCTAATTATAAGACCTATAAACGAGGTCTTATAATTAGGATTGGAGGTAGTATAATATTTGTTACTCCAATGTTTGCAATTGTTAATATTCTTTTCCTTTTGGATTATCAACACATTGAAACAATTTCATGCAGTTCTTATTCATTTTTTTTCAATGGGCACTTTAATTTAATTGTGATGTTAAAACTTTTCAGTTCAAGGATAAAAAGTTGTGGATGTGAAAAAAAATATACAAATTAAAAAAATACAAATTTTAAATTTTAAACTTTTAACTTCGAATACAGAAAAAAAAGGAATAGTTACAAAATTTATAAGAATAAATGACAACGTAACTAAAAAATGACCACGTACTATACAATTGATTCCACAGTACTCAAATATAACTAATAGTACTAACGTCAAATAATTGTATTAAAAAAGTTTTACAATTCTTTTTTCTACAAAAGTTAGCAGTGAGAACTCATTTATTAAATAGTGGTAAACAGAAATAGAAAGAACAATTGAATAAACAATAAAAAGAATGATGACACTTGCAATACAAGGTATAATTGTGTATTACAACTAAAATGTTCACCTTAATAATTAATTTTTTTAATTTTTAAAATAAGAACACATACATGTCAACCAAATAGTCTGACTGCATCTAGACCAATATATGTTCCATAAAATGATTATATAAATATAAAATATTTTTTGGATAATTTTACCCAATAAGAAATTGACTCACCGATTCTTATTGCAATCCCAACCAGATAAGTCTGAAACTTCCTTGAGAGAATCTCTCCAACTTTTCATGACCTCATTGTCCCTTTGAAGCATCTGATGCCTAGCAAAAGCTTCGGCAAAACTTTCTCTTTGATGTCGTGCATCAGATGGATTTACATCATAAAATATAGGGAAAACTTGTTGACACAAATTGTTTCTTGAGTAAAGAATATGTTTAAGCTCATCTAAACACCATGAAGAAGAGGCATAATTTTTTGAGAGAACAACAATTGCAAACAGAGAATCCTCAATTGCTTGTTTGAGTTCTTTGGAAATGACCTCTCCTCTCTCAAGTTCTTCATCATCTATGAAAACCTTAAACCCACTGCTATCTAGTGCACGGTACAAGTGGCCAGTGAAGCCTTTACGAGTGTCTTCACCCCTAAAACTCAAGAAGATGTCATACTTCCAAGTTCTTTGGGTTGAATTGGAGTTGGAAGAATTTGAAGAAGATCCTCCTTGGCTGCTTGCCATAAATGTTCAAGCCAATAATTTGAAGAACCGGCAATATTACGACCTACAACACAACTAGACCATTTCATTTGACTAAAGGAAACAAATGAAATATGAGATGATCAGATTGCAAAGGAAAAAAAATGGAAAACAAAAATAGTGGAAGCTGTAGATGTATGATATACTGACCTGGGCTTACAGCTAGGGGTGAAGTGTCTAAACTCTAATTCTTAATATATACAAGCTTTCAAGTGCCTACCTTCCTGATGGTGTTATTAGATGGCTGAAACTAGAATTTTCTGGCAAGTTTCTCACAATTTCTCTCTGTTCCTTTCCTATCTTCCTCTTTTCTTCCTCTTTTCCTCTCTCTTTGTCTGCAATAAGGGAAGAGAGCTAAAGCGCTACTTATTGTGAAAGCTTGTTTGGAGAAAAAGCCGAAAGGGTCCACAGTCTTTCCTCCATGCTCCTTTCCTCACGATGACGCGCCAGTGATCACTTTGACATGCATAACCAGCTTTTTTCCCCCACAATATTTTCCCATTTTACAACCAGTAATCCTCTGGCGCATGAAACGTAGAAAAGAAGCAAACCCCGCGATGTGCTTGATGATGTGTGCATGTGCATGTCAGTAATGTAGGAATGATGAGAGGCATTGGATGGGAAAATGCGTCCCCATTCTTCTCACACGACCTCGGTCAACCTGACGTTAGGCCTGAACTTTCCAATTCTTCTCTTGATGGGGTCCGTACAACTTTGACGATCCTAAATAATGTGTTTAAAAAATTAGGGAGCAAATGAAGGGTACAGATTGTCTGCATTTCCAATTCTTTAGTTTTTTTATCTCAAAATTTCGTATTTACCCTTAAATTAAGAAAAATAGATAGTTCAGACTCCCCTGCCAATTAACTTTACTTGGAATTTTCAAAAGATAGGCAATTTTATGACTAAACTCTATTCCAAAAACACCAATGCTCCAAATAAACGTAATACGCAGATGACAAGCCCCCTCTGTTGAATAAACCAAAGCTCACTCCTTGTGCTTACAGGTGTCGCAGCTTTTCTTTGAAAAAAGTGAACGTGAATGGAAAGCAATGCGTGAAAATATGACAGAGCTTCGTCTTTAAGGCGTGTTGCCTGGGATGTGTCCGTATCTTTCTTATAATTAGTACCCTCCGTAAGTTGCGCTGTTTAGACTCTTTAAAAGTCTACAACAAACCTCCTTAAACTTTGCATAAAACTTTCACACTATTACTTTTTATTATTCATTTACGGATGATTTAATGTTTAATTAGAGAATTAAAATATAATTAAGTCAGAATTTTAGGATATTATATGTACATAAAAATAAAATTAATGGTTTTCAGTTTTTATATAATTTTGCTCTTTACTTTCATGATGCTCGCGAAATTATCATAATGAAAATGGAATTCGTCGCTTTTTGACCTGAGAAAAGAAGCAGGGCCTATAATTTGCTTTATGATGTGGCCACGTGGGCATGCGCGTGATGGGGGGCAGGGGATGGGTCCCTCCCTGTTTTTCTCACGTGATGGTAGACGCCAAATTTGTCTTGCTCAACTCAAAGCTCTTGCACAACACAAGAATGGTGAAAAATCCTTATCTTTATAAATTTCTAATGAAATGAGTAGTAGAATTATTTAATAAAATTTTAAAAAAATTTTGGGTCATATAATCTGATTAGGATTAGAGATGGGAATCAGGGTAGGACCGGCTCTCCAAGACTCAAATTTAAAAAATATCCCGATTTGTTAGGCTCGGCCCTTAAGTCACAGGGCTCAGGGCCAACCGGCAGGCTTTTGGCCCGTTTAAGAAAAAAATGATATTTTTTTGTATTTCTCATATTTTTTATAAAAAAATAAAAATAAACCAATGAAATTGTTAATAAAAGACATAAATATGAATAAAATTAAGTCATAAATACAAAATATCATCATATATAAATATTCATCAACATCAAGAATATCTAAAACATTTATTAACAAGATAACAACATCTAAAAGTTTTATCTATAGTGTAATTGTGCAATAAATAAACACTATCATTAATCTTTTGAAACTTCATTATCACTATAATCAATTACTCTTCTTTATAAGTATGCTTTTTCTTTCATAACAAAAATATCGAGTTTTTCTTCTTTATAGGAATTTTACTTTTAAATTTTGTAATCTAGCTATTATTTTACTTTAATGTGAGAAACATTACTGTTGAAACTCATGAATTTCTAATTCAAATTATAGAATAACAAGTTATATAAGTATAAAAATACTCTATTATCAAATATATATATATAGTTTAAAAATATCAATGCATATAATATAAATCAAATCATTATTAAAGTCCAAATTAACCCATTTTTTAAAAATTTAATTAGATAAGGTATTGTCTAAAACTAAATAAATCAAATCATTCTGTAAAATTTAATTTTAAAATTATAATTATAACTAAATATTTGAAATATTATTAATAATGTAAAAAATTCATAATATTAGAATTATATTAAAAAAATTATAAAAAGGCCTAAACAGGCAGGCCCTCGGCCCTCCAGGATCGGCCCTCTAGGGTTTACTTCCTATTTGAGGGGAAAAATTTCAAGCCCGGCCCTCATAATTTTAGGACCTAAACGGGCTCGACCCGTTTTCCCAACTCTAATTAGGGTTTTGACAAATTCAGTAATCCAAATAAAAATTTGAGTTATTTAATATCTTTGCAAAAGATTTTTCCTCAAAAAATTGAATATTTTTACATAGTTATCTAATTCTTTTCAATGCCACTATAGTCCCTAGACCCAGCAATCATATATTACAATTTTTGGGACAGGGTCCTTTTTTATAAGTTGCCGTTTGCACTTATCTAAATTTAATATACTTTTTAATTTTTATCCTTAATTAATTACATTCTCTCTTATCTTTTGTATGCCTATTGTCTTTCATACTAACCCTCTCCATTTTACTCACCCTCTCCATGGATAAGGTATTATTTTTTTTAAGAAAATAACTCTCCTACACTTTTGTTGTCTTTAATGAACCAATTTGAATTATTCAGCCAAAAAAGTTAACCAATTTGAATTAATTTGTTATTAATGTAATTTAATTATTTATAACTTATTTATATATATAACCATGTGTTATACAACAGGACCCAAGTGTCTAGAGCTAGGTTATATTTTGTCTGCACTGTACATTTCTGTTTTTTTTTGGTATGTGTATTATTTTATTAGAGATAATCCTGTTTCAGATACTGTTGGATATTAAATATAGCTACCTCTTCCAACAAGGATTTGAACCTTGCTTCACCATATTGTGAAAGACTAACTCTCTATTCTGCTGCTAAACCCAATCCTACTGGTTGTTAAATTGTCTCTCATGCAAAGCATAGAATATTTCTAACTCAAAAGTATTGGGGTGTGCGTGTTGGGTCTTTAAAAAAACTTGAGATGAGTGGCCAAGTTTTCCCATGTGCTTACAAATGCTGCAGCTTTTCTTTGGAAAAAAATGAATGTGAATGGGAAGAAAAGGTGTAAAAATATGGGAGAGCTTCGTCTTTAATGCGTGTTTTTTATTGTTGTTAAAATATGATCTTTCGTGAAAGAGAAAAATAAGTGCGAAGACTGAAGAGAATTGAAATAATAGAAGATCATATTCGTTAATTTATAATTAGCACCCTCCGTAAGTTGCACTGTTTACACCTTCTGGTTAAGCCTTCCATATATTACTTTCAAGCTGAGCATTGGCTTTCAGAAGGCATGGTTCCACATTCTCCGATTATAGCTTGGGAAGTTTCGCCTTGTGACAAACTTTATTGCCTGTGTTATGAGCTTCAGTGCCAGTTGTGTTTTCCTTAAAAACATGAAGCATATAATAATTATTATATCTAATCCTTAATATAAGAACTAGTTGACTAATTTGAGTAGATTAAAAAATTTTGTTAAATTAGTTATTTGTAATAACTAATTATTGCATTCCTTAAAATATCCTTACTAATCATTTGTGTTAAATAGAACTACCATTTGATAAAAGGACTACTTTAAAAAAAAATAGATAAATATGAGAGACAAAATAAATTAGACTTATATTTAATACTACCAAATTAAAAGTTAAATTAGCTTTTATATTAAGGATCGGAGATAGTATATCACGCAAAGTCATCAAATATCAATTTATTCAAACTTAAAAGAGATTTAATTTGGGGGTATATCATTTTAGTTTCTCTCTACTGCATATTATGAAAGTGACAGTAGACAGAAGGCAACTTAATCCATCAATGAGTCGTTCTAAATCCTCCGGCGTATGCAACGCCATCCGCACTTAATAATTGACTCTGCATCAAACGATTCTGATGGAGACCGCTCCCAATCAGTACAAAACTTGAAGCGAATCTTACTGTAAAAATTTGAACCACTTTATGTTTCGAACAACCACTGAACATAGATATACAATTGGGAGTTGTTACTGATGAGTACGTACAGACAAAAATATGGAAAAGAAGTGTGAAAGGACCGAGGGAGAGGTCGAAGGAAATTGGGAGAAGGACGAGGAAAAAGAATTGTGCTTTTATCGAAGTTAATTTCAACAAAATATCAACAGCTAAAGATTATATTTACATTTAAACTCAACTTGTGGAATTTCTAACTCAATCTTTCGACTAAATAATTAAGTTCCAGTCCCTTTCAAATTATAATATTGTTGATTGGTTGTGAATGTTCCAATTAAAAGGGCCCAAACTGTAACGATGAATAAAAATGGCGTTTGCGTGGAAAAACGATGGCTTTCTCACTCGCAACATATCAATATATCTATTTGCAGATCATAAATATCGGCGGATGACATTGTCAAAAAGTGAAAGAAAAGGAGACACTAGAATGAGCAGAGGGCCCACTTTACTCCTTCCATGCCCCTTCCCTCACCCGCTCCTTCTCATAAATTATGTTATCATATGAAATAGAAGCAGAAGACACATATAATGCTGTTATTGACTAGCAAAGACTTGGAAAAATGAATGTGAAA